TTAGCATTACTAATTCAGCCTCTTGTGAAAGATTCAGTAAGTTATTCTTTTTTCTACAATCTGCTTTGATAATTTTTATATCTGCGAATTTGTCAATTCCTATAAATTTTCTACCTTGTTGACTTCAAGTTTTTCCAATGTTTCTTTATAATCATTTTCATTTCCGTGAGTGGTGGTTCTTCCTCTTTAGTTCATAATTTCAATCATTTTTTTCTCTTCTCGCCTATTTTCTTGGGTGTGTTAGCATGTGATTTATCATTTAGTTAAATTCTTCAAAGAAACAGATGGGGCTGTTCAGATCCACTTTGTGTGGCATTTTATGTGCCTAATACTAAGTAATCTCCACAAGAAAGTCTTATCCACAAGGAACGGGATCTTGCACCTTCTCATGCTACCCGGGGTTGGGGTAATGTTGGTGTAACCAGACCGCCAGCCATCTAGATGGATGCTAAGCTGACTCATGTCTGAGTCTCACAGCTTTAAGGTTCCACACTGGCTCAGGTACTTCAGGGCCCATGTGTCGGTGATATATGACAAAATACAAGGGTGCCTACAACACTGATGTGCATGTGCCTAGAAAATTGTTGTGCTCCCATCTGTGAGTACTGGCCTGTACTGGCCTGCTGAGAGCTGTGGTGCACAAGGTTCGGGCATGATTAGTAGAGATAGTTTCTTGGCCACTAAAGCTGATTCTAAGGTGAGTTATAGCTGACCCTCACAGTTGCCAGGGCTTGTCTGTTCCACAGGTTGGGTGAGAGTACCCTATTTCCACCCTGATGCTAGAACTGATACAGTGGACATGGGTATCTATAGGTGCCTAGATCTCTACATAATATGGGGATGCACCTAGAGGGTACAGCTGAGCTCTGGACTGTGCTTGGAACCTTTAGTTTCTACTCAGTGCTGGCTTTCAGCGTGGTGGGCTTGACACAGAAGAATTTAGCTTTCATGTGAGTAAGTAGAGTCCAGCTATTTACTGTGTCTCTTGAGGTTGGAGGAAGGGTTTGGAGTAGTCTATTCCTCAGAGCCTAATGTCCTTCTCACAATTCAGTCTACAGATACTGACCTAACGGTAGAAACCCTGCACTAGATTTCATTGTGGCAGGCCTAGATTTAATTCTCTGTCCAGGCTAATTTTCCTGGAGTTGGTGAAGGAGTTTTTTGTTTTGTTTGATTTGGGTTTTTTTTTTTTGCCTTTTTCATAGCTATTCATTATGATGTATTTGTAGGGAAAAATTGCTAGATGTTTTCTGCCAGCTGCCAACTCTTTTTTTTTCCGAGACAGGGTCTCATTCTGCAGCCTTAGCTGGTCTGAAACTCTGTGTATATCAGGTTGGCCTCAAACTCACAGAAATCTGTGTCTCTGATTCCTGAGAGCTGGGATTAAAATTTGTGCTACCCCACCCATCTCCAACCATCTTTCATTATAGGGTCTTTGCTTTTATTGATCTCTCCTGAGAACACAGAATGGTGCCTGGCTCATAGTGGTCATTGAGTAATAGAATACTTATACAGCTCCCGTGGTTCTGCAGCCTCTCTGATATGGTATTGGCATGATTTGATATATTTTCAAACTCAGGGGTTTTTATGGATCTCACTCCTCATCTGACGTGCATTTCACCAATCTCTAATATGATCAAACACTTTTTTATATATCTATTAGCTATGTGTTTTTTCTCTTATGGAAGATTCATCAGACATGAGCTCATTTTCCCCTTGTTTCTTACAGATACATGAAAGTTCATAGATTCAGCATTCATATGCTCTAATCATTATCTGTGTAGTAAATATCTTATCCAGTGTTTTTTCTATCTATTTATGACACTTTTATTTTTATTTATTGGGTGCCTTGTGCCATGGCATATGAGTAGAAGTCAGAAGACAACCTCTGGGGGATTAGTTCTCTCCTTCCACATCTGGGCCCCAGGGATTGAACTCAGGTCAGCAGATTTTGTGGGCAGTGCCTTTATTCACTGAACCATTGTTGACCCACTTTATGACACTTTTGATGAACAGGAATTTCTTAATTTTAATGTAGCTATATTGGGTAACCGTTGAAATATAATTTTAGTTTTTGAAATTAAAAATTAAAATATATATTTTCTCCCTTCCCTTTCCTCCTTCTTAGTCCTTCCTGTATATTTCCCCCTTTGCTCTGTCCCAAATTTATGGCTTCTTTTTCTTGAGTCTACCTTCTGTATCTTTCGAGATAAATACTCTTGTGCATTCTGGTAGAAATACAGAAGAGTACAACTCCTACAGGGTGAAATTTATATATAAAAATGACATTGACATTTACTCTTACTCTTTGTCTCAGCAATTTCACTTCTTAGAATGTATTTGAAACAAATGTTTGAAACACACCAAATTTTATATATACACATATATATTTATGTATGTATTGTGTACATATATATGGATATTTATGTATATATGTATACATACACGGCTAATTTTCAGGGCATAGTTCAAAATAGCATTAAGATTGGATAGAAGAACTATATTTTAGTGTTTCTTAGTAGGAAAGTATTTAAATAACTATTGTACGGTGAAGTATTATGTAACTGTAAGAAGGCAAAAAGTAGTTTTTACATTAACATGGAAATATTTATGGGATATATTATTAAATCCAAAATATAAAGCTTCAGACCAGTATTTATGTAGGAGAAAGGTATAACTAATGAATTGCATGCATGTATGTATGTATATATATATATATACATATTCAAAAAAGGAAATACTGGAGCTATAGATCAAACTTAATAAGAACTAGTATTTATGGGGAAGGAAGGGAATGAAATGAAGGGATCCGAGATGGAATGATACTTTGTAAAGGTGCTGATAACCCTTTTCACTTTAGAGCCATATACATGCTTTACATGATTACACATGTAATGAAAACGTTAATCAAAAACAGAAAAGGACTGGGAATATACTTCACAGTTGAGTGCTTGCTTAGCGTGCACTAAGTCCTGGATTCAGTCCCCAGGATCACACACACACAAAACGCAAGAAAGAATAAATCCATAAAATTCAAAAACAACCCGAAGCAAATAAAGCAAATAATAAACAGAGTTGATAGAATAACCACACAGAAAATAATTACTGTAGCGACTTTAAAGTAATGCCTGTCTATTACTAATAATATATACTCTAAGGACTGCAAAAATATAAAAGTATATTCGATCATTTTATTGTTGTTAGCCATGTTAGTATTGCTAGTGGTGTTTCTTAGTTATGTGAGTATATTGTTTAAGAACGCTAATAAGCCACTTTGATGATATTAGCATCTGAGGAACCAGAAATAAAGCTCAGTGATAGAGAACTTGCTTAGAAGGCAAGCAGCCCTGGGTTTGATCCCCAGGTTTCCACAAAACAACCCTCCAAACAAAATAAAATAAAAGATATATAAGTATAAAATGAGAATTTAAGAATAAATCTTGTCATATTAAATTTGAATCAGAAATGCTGTTATAAATTTAAGACCTGTTTTTTTTCTCCTATTAATGCTCGAGGTTTGTCTACTGTAAAGGCTTAGAAGCAACAACAATGAACACTCTGAACACCAGTAGTTTCTAAGTACCTTTCATTAAAAGGGGCCAAGAATCCTTGGAAAAATAGTTCAGGTTCAAGTTAGAAAATGTACAAGATAAGCTTGGGATAGCTTGCTGTGTCAGAAAATCAGAAAGCAATAAAGGAGCTGGTTGAAAGGAATGCTTGTGGGTACTGGGCAGGACAGTTTGTCCACTACCACAAATAGTCACTATATTTAATTGAAATACATACATACATTATATAAAAATACATGATTTCATAATTGTACTACAAATAACCACTGGTCACCATTAGGTATTTCTAAAGCAATAGTTCCTTATTCTCATAAATACTGAAGAACATATAGAATCAATTATTTATCCTGCTTTTCTTACATTAACTATATTCAGGAAAACTAAAAAGTTGCTGACTATAGAATCCAGATTAAAACTACAAAAGAAGTAATAGAGTCAGGGAAACCCCATTTTGTAATTCCTAATAAATTAATAGATATAAACAGTAATTGTCAATGGATATAAAGCCAATTAGGTAAAAATTGAATAGGAGTACATAATAATTGAGGGATATAACAAACACCATTTAAATTCATGGATTAATTTCAACGTTACTAAAAATGTGCCTATTGAATATTATGTGCCTTTAGACATGGTACAATAGAAAATATATACTAATTATGAAAATTTTTGCTTTAAATATTGAATATGAATCTAAATCTTTACAGAAATAATCTTCAATGTAGCTTTCTAGAATATTAATAATGGTCTTTATTCTGGATAATCTGGAATCTAAGAACTGTATATATATATATATATATATACATATGTTGGACATTTGAAATGTACCAAATTTGACCCAAATTGATTTAAAAAAAGCATAACCAAGTAACCAATGATACCTGTATTTGACTAGATTAAAGTGTCAAAAATAAAAGAAATTTTGAACAAGTTATCATCGGAAAACATTTTATTAAATCAATTTGTTCACAAGACAGATAATGATTGTATACTATCAATGGACAGAGAGGAAAAGTCAATGAAGGGACGGGACAGAAAAATATTTTCAAAGTCATAATAGCCAAAACTGACTTATATCTTGATTAAATAACCAAGTATTTCAAAAGTCAGTGAAATAATAAAGGTCATTCAAATAGAAATTTGGAATTAGGTGCTACTTAGGAATTACGAAGTTCATAAATATGAAAATGCCATCCTGGTTCTGTTCTTCAGATGTCCTTGTGAGTTAGAGGTATGTATACTTGTATGAGCTTGAGGTTTCTTGGTGCCTTACTTCCTTTGCCATGTATTAGCCTTGCTCAAATGCAGTTTTAAGATACATGCACATTCACATGTACATGCACACACACTTGCTACATGTTATAAAAACCTTTCCTAAAAGAGGTTCTGTATCTGAGATCCAAATTTTTATTTTTATTAATTTTTAAAAAGTTATACTGGGGAGGCTTTGTAGAACTTCCATATCTCTTTGTCTTGATCCAGATGAACCCCCAAAGAAGAACAAAGGTGATCCCATGAACAACCTGGAAGGTTTTTACCACGAGACTATAATGAAAAACCGTCTTGAAGAGTTCCAACTTATGAGAGGTGAACCCTTTGCTTCCCACTCACTGGTCTCAGCTACATCAGTGGGTGATAGTGACACAGCTGAGAACCCATCACTACTCCAGGACAAGGGAAAACAGGCAGCACAGGGTAAAGGCCCCAGTCTCCATGTGGCAAAAGTTATTGATTTTCTACCTGAGCAGTGTTGGACTGGGCCTAAGAAGCTGACGCAACCAATAGAATTTATCCCTGAAGATGAGATCCAGAGAAACCGTTTGTCAGAGGAGGAGATCCGAAACATCCCTATGTTTTCTTCATATAACCCAGGGGAACCAAACAAGGTATAGGCCAAATCAAGAACACAACATGAGTTGTTTTCACGTTATTTACTTCTGCCTAATGGAACATTTTAAAATTACCTTTGATTATGCCAAAGATTATGACATAGCTATTCTGTTTGTCCTTAACCTTAACCATCATTTTCCACACACTATTAAGTAGCCTATTTCCTACCATGTTCTGTGTGCCTTTCTTAGATTTAAAGTCCCCCCATATTTTTTAAATAATAATGAGATCTAGAAGCTCTGAATTATAGGAAAAGTAACCACCAATTTCTTAGTGGTTGACCACCTGGTTATAGGTCCCATTAACAGCACAAATCCTTAAAGCATTAATTTTTATCTTAATTTAAGAAAGCAGAATAAAGAATAATATTCCCTGATTTAAAAAAATGGATGAAGGGATACTGAAGTACTTTCAGTGTCTTTCTGTTTTGTTAGCTCCACTTTCATTTACTTTTTGTCATGAGCTGTTACTAACATGCCAAAGAATAAATATCCCATGAATAAGTTAGGGAATATCTGTGTACTTGGCTAGCCATGTTGATTAATTAAGATTTAGTATTTTTTCCTATTTTCTTAGTTTTAAAAAGGAGTAAAGCGCTGGGCAGTGGTGGCGCACGCCTTTAATCCCAGCACTCGGGAGGCAGAGGCAGGCGGATCTCTGTGAGTTCGAGACCAAGCCTCGTCTACCGAGCAAATTCCAGGACAGCCTCCAAAACAATACCGAGAAACCCTGTCTCGAAACAAACAAACAAAAAAAGTAGTAAAGCATTATGTATTTAGCTGAAGAATTTCATGTATTCTTCATCAATCCCATTCTTCCTTCTTTCCAGTTTTAATCATTATTTTGAATTTGTTCTGTTCTCATGGATATTTTTATGCATTTACTACATACAACTGTATACAACTGTCCCCAACTAATAATAGCTAAATTTACTTTTGTTTGTATGATTGTATGTGAAAGGTATGCATTTAGTAGAATCTATACTCTGGATTTTGAATTTTTATTTTTGTCAAACTAGCAATATGCATTGTGGTGCTCTGGTACCTTATTGAGATGCTGGGCAGCCACAGTAACCTACAGCTCACAGTCAGCTATATATCATGAGGATAAACCATTGATACTCTAGAGTACTAGGTTGCTAAGCAACCTAGATTACATATATTACATATATTACATATATTAAATGCATTTCTAACTTAGGATATTTCAATTTAGAAAGAATTTGTCAATATTATGACCCTATCTTAACCCAAGGTACATCTTAACTGTCCATAAATATTCATAAATATCCATAAATACAGTTTTACACATTTGAAAACTATGTAGATGTTGTCACACTTTACATATTTTTCTGGTACTATTTTGACTCAATATACTCAATATTTTAAAATTATATTTCTAATGATACAAAGAATTACTTAGTATTCCATTATAGAAATATGCTATAATTCATTTGCTTATTTTCTTGATTTGTTTCCCCTCACGTCTTTGCTAAGATTTTATATTAGACTTTTAACTTTACCTACTAGTTTAGAAAAGTAACTTTTTTTAAAATTTGCATATTCCTCATTTCCAGTAAAGATATACAAGTGTTTTTACATTTATCAACCCTTCTTCTACCCTCTGTGAGTTAACTTTCTGTTCCTTTGCCCATAATTTGATATTTTTGCCTTTTGTGCTTATTTATAATGATTATTATTCAGTTTTTAAAATATATTTTATTGTATGTGTGTCACATGTGTTGAGAAAAAACAAAGAAGAGAGTTTTTTGAACCACTAATTACTGAATATTTTCTGAAATTAATGGCTGACTACTAGCCATACATCCGGGAATCTCAGAGAACATTAAGCAATAAGAATACCAAAAACTACATCTAAACATGACATATTTAACCTATAGAAAGGCAAGATAAAGGAAAGAAGGAATACTTTATATAGGATAAAAGAGAATTGCACCAGACTAATCACAAGGCAACACAAGCAATAAGAGGATGGAATGAAATATTAAAAGTTTAGGGAGAAAAAAAATCCCACCCACCCAGAAATCTATCCAGAAAACTTACCTTTTGGTACAGAAGAAACAGAATAACAGTTCTCAAATGAACAAGCATGTAGAGAATTTGTCACAATAAAATTATTCTCATAAGTTTAGGAAAATTAGATAACTTAATAATTTAGATCTATATATAAGAAGAACATAGAGGAAAGAGTACACAAAGATAAAATAAAATAAAATGATTTTCTCATTCTGTCAAACAGAAGTAGAGGGAATACATTTTGTGAGATGAGACTTAGCTTATTACAGAAACCAGTTTAAAATATTAGAATAAAAGAAAATTAAAGCCTCCTATCTGTCTTGTTCATAGAAGCAAAAGTCCTAATTCAAAACAGTTTGAGTGTTATAATGAAATCTACTATTATTTATAATTAGTATATGCTAATGAAAGCATTAATAAGTCTTCTTGAAGTATTTTTATTTATAACATATTAGAAAATAGAATTTATTAATATATAAAAATAATTATAAATGATTATCAACAGATGTCCAAAGCTGATTCAATATTTGAAAATCAATGTAGATTTCATTGGTTCCCTATCAGTAAATTAAATAAGAAAAATCATGTGTTCATTTCACATGATCTAAAAAAAGCATTTGAAAAAATGCCTTAACATCCATTCATGTTTTAAAACTCGGTGAACTAAGAAAAAAAGGAGACCATCCTCAAGTTAATGCAGAATAGCTATAACACCACACATCATACCTGGTAGTAAGAAACTAATTAGATACTTTCCTCCTTGGTCCAGAACAAAATAAGAATATCTCCTTTTTCTACTCCGTTTCGACAAGTGTTTTTCAGTATAATAAGAGAAGGGAAGGAAATAGAAAGGTCATGAAGTAGGAAGAGAAAAAAATACTGTTTGCAAGTAATTTTGTCAAAAATCTCAAATAATTGACCAGAAATCAAGCATACAAACTTTATATATAAAAAGTCAGTTTTCAACAGCTGAGTAATAATCCATTGTGTAAATGTACCACATTTTCTTTATCCATTCCTTGGTTGAGGGACATCTAGGTTGTTTCCAGGTTCTGGCTATTATAAATATAGCTACTATGAACATAGTTGAGCAAGTAAGTGTCCTTATGGTATGATTGAGCATCCTTTGGGTATATACCCAACAGTGGTATAACTGGGTCTTGAGGTAGCTTGGTTCCCAGTTTTCTGAGGAACTACCATATTGATTTCCAAAGCTGCTGTACAAGTTTGCACTCCCATCATCAGTGGAGGAGTAATTCTCCTTACTCCACATCCCATGTAGAAAGCAATACTTCAAAACACTTAGAAGAAAACAGGGGGTTGAAATCCAAGTGGCCTTCTCTTTGATGTATTTTTTCATCAAAAGCCCAATTTATATAAAAGTTGATAAATTATACTTTGTTCAAATTTCACATTTTTCTGTAAAGACATGTTAGAAATACGCAGAAGACATACCATAGATTGGAAAAATATTTCACAGCACATGCATATCTAACACAGGACCTATATCTAGAATACAAAAAGAATTCTTAAAACTTGACAGTAATGAAGTGAACAGCTCAGTTTAAAAAATGGTCAAAGGTAAGAGTAGATGCCTCATCAAAGAAGATTATAATGTGACAAGCCTATGAATTAAATCATACCATTATTTGTCATCAAAGAATTGCCAAATGAAATAATGAGATACCATTAAACACCCACTTAAATGACTAAAATTCAAGATAAAATTGATAGTACCAAACACTGTTAAGAATACAGAGCAACTGGACCACATAATCATTGCGGGTGAGAGTATAAAATGGCACATTCTCTTTGGAAGTCAGTTTGAAAGTCCCTTAAACAAAGCAAAACATTGTTTTACCCTGTGATCCAGAAGTTTCGCTTTTTTATTTATTCAACTGTTTACATATATAAAAAGGAGCATGTGAACATTTGCAATGGATTTATTCATATTTGTCAAAAACTAGAACCAATCAAGGTATCTTCCAAATAGATGTTTTGCAATGAAATATAATTTCACAACAAAAAGAAATTAGCTATCAAATCATGTAAAGATGTATACAAACTTTTAGATTCATATTAATAAACAGAAGATGCTTCTATGAAAATAAAGCATTTTATTATTTTATTCTGCAAAATTCAGAATGATAGGCATCAAAGCAATAGGTAATTACCAAAAGTTTGGGGGAAAGGAGAGAAAAAGTGGAGCATAGAATACTTTTAGAAGAATAAAATTCTATTCGATACTGAAATGGTGAATGTACGGTGTACATTTAAGAGAATATTGAAAGCTACACAGTATAAAGAGGTTCTTAATGTGTATAAGTATTTAAAAATCATTTCAGAGATGAGAAACTTAGGAAAGAATACAGACGATGATAAGAGTGTATATAATATAGTATGACTAGAGAGGTAGGAGAAAGGGTACTGACCTAAGTGGCTTCGGGAATTTGTAATCTGCAAGCCTAGCAGCACATGGACTGCACAGAAGCACAATACCCTGGTTGCTAAGGTTGCGTCTCCTGGTTAATGCTAGTACTGCTTTACATGTAGATGGTTGACAGATAGTAGAAGTTAAGGTTCTCACTGTGGGAATTTGTTGGTTAAATTAAAAGGCGGAATTAAAATGATCCACATGGTAGTAGCTTAAATTTGGGAGCATCACTGTGGATTCATATTTAATTTAATATAGATAGAAATAGTTTATATGTAGAAGTATTTGTCTACATTTATACACAGGTTAGTATGTGCTCAGCAAGCTCCAATTAAACAAACTTGTTCTTGCTCAAGATGGATTACTTCTACTACCATTCTCTGCTAAATGTAACAAGGGATCTTTGGAGAAATAGATGGCTGCTCCTATTACTCAGGCAGGAAATACATAAGATTAGCCTTGTTTATCTTTCTGTACCAGAAAGTAAAATGACAGCACAAAACACAGGAACTGATGGAGAACTCCAATAATCAAAGCTAGAACTACCTGTGCAACAAACTAAACAACTTAACTTTGAATAATGGTCCAAAATATAGAATATCCCTGTCTTATATAGGTGCTGAGAATTAAGAAAAAACATTAAGGAAGTAGAGAAGAGATAAATCTTAGTAACGTAGCTCCCTGCTGCTTGGTTATGAGTGGCTTGTGTTGACCTGTTTCCCAAGAGTACTATATAGAAAGGAAGACAAGCGAGTAGTGGAGAATGTTGTCCAGCACTCCCTCAGCCAGGTGATGAAAGCTAACATCACCAATCATAAATCAGTGCTGTTAGCATTTCTGCTTGATACAGTGTGACCAAAACTGAGCTCTTCCACTTTAGTTTTCTTCCCAATAACTCATCACTCCAGTCTAACATTAAGAAAAGCAACAGAAAAAAATCTAATAATGGGCTATCATATTAAAAATACCTGATTTGACCATGAAAAATGAGGAAAATCTGAAAAAAATTGCCAAGAGGAACTTCAAGATACATGACAACTAAAAAAAATACAGTAACCTTGAAGATATCTTAAACAGAAAAGTAACATTAGATAGAAACTAAGAAAATGTAATAAAAATGAACTCTTGTTCATAATAATATAGCAACACTATTTTATTAATTACCATGAATATAGCATATTAATGTAAGATATTAGTTAAGTCAGAAACTGATTATGGAGCATAAGGATAGTATACTTAATCTCCATTTTTCTACAAATCTAAAATTGTTCTGAAAAATAAAGTCTAATGTACAAGGCTTTTTAAAAGAATAGTAACAAATGAATCCAAAGGGTATAAACTATATAAAGTTCAAAATGTACAATCAAAGCTACATCTTACACAGTGATAGCAGGAGATTCTGTTTTTCTGTCTGATAAGCATGCTCATCTTATTTTAGGGCCTCCCAATATCTGCATGTCTCTCTGCATATGCATGTGGTATATATACATATGTATGTTGTAGATACATACATGTATAGGTATGTGTGTATATTTTTGCAGCAGAGAGCATGGAACCAAGAAAGAACTAAGCCAACTTCTTGACCAGAAGTCCTTTTTCTTTTTAGAAACTATTTTTATCATGGGGCCAGGGAGCTGGCTCAGCATTTAAAGCACTGGTTATTCTTTCAGAGGACCTAGATTTGATTCCCAGCATCCACATGAAGTTCCAGGGGATCTTATGCCCTCTTCTGGATTCCACAGGCACTGCATGCACATGGCACACATACTTGCAAACAAACATTCATACACATTAAATAATATTTTTAAATACTGAAAAATAATAATGTATTCATCAGAAGGAACAGTCAATATGGATCTTTTCTAATTGCTGAGAAGCTTCAGGTCTGTTCTCACACACTTCCTTCCCCCCTTTTAAAACCTGTTAAATTTATTTTTATTGAAAATAGCATTTTGCATACAATATATTTTGATCACAGTTTTCCCTCTCTCATATCTTCCCAAATCTTCCCCATCCATCCAACTCCATGGCTTTCTCTCTCTCTCTCTCTCTCTCTCTCTCTCTCTCTCTCTCTCTCTCTCTCTCTCTCTCTCTCTCTCTCTCTCTCTCTCTCTCTCTCTCTCTCTCTCTCTCTCTCTCTCTCTCTCTCTCTCTCTCTCTCTCTCTCTGTGTCTGTCTCTCTCTGTCTCTCTGGGAAACAAACAGGTAAATAAGCAAACCAGAGGAAAAGAAAGGGTACAAGAAATGCACACACAGACACACATACACACACACACACATAAAAACACAAAATTGGAAACCATAATATATAAGCAAACAACCAGCACATTTTTTAAAAAATGCCCAAACAAAGCAATGATGGGGCAAAAATTACAAACATACCATTGTGGTTGTTTTGTATTGGCCATCTTTTGCAGGGTATTGGGCTTAATCTTTAGTCTCACATTGCTTCTTAAGGCTAAGAGTTAGAGCTAAAGATTCTACTCCTAAGTAACTTTAATAACATTTAATGTATTTCTTCATATATTTCAGTGACTGTATCAGTCACTTCCTGGCTATTGTCCTCTCTGTTCTAGTGTGAATTCTTTCCTAATTTTTAAAGTGAAAACTATGTTAAATAACTTTTCCTTCTCCCATCCTTTTTGTATTGTGTTTAAAGAATACATTGGGTCTACCTTTCTATGAAAGATTTAAGGGTCCAAAGCAGTATTGTTGACTTCAGCATGGTGTTGTATAGCAGGTTTGTAGGGTTTTCTCTTCTATGACTGAAGCAATTCCCCCATTTTCCCCTTCTAAGAACTTACCACCATTATACTTTTAGCTTCAATGAGTTGGACTAGTTTAAATGCTTTGTCTAAGTAAAATAATATAATATTTGTCCTCTGTCACTGAGCATATACTCCTAAAAGGTTATGTGTGTCATAGCATATGCTAGTGTTAATGGAAAACAAAAAACACAACTTGTACCTCAAAAAGGATAAGAGATAGTTTAGTTTTGAGCCAGTTATCAGTGACTATGACCTGGTAATACAAATTCAGGTTACCCCACAATCCATGCTGCAAGATGGTAACAGTTTCATGACTTTTTATAGTAACAGAAGAACAAAGAAAATCATAAATCAAGGTATTTTCAAGTACATTGATGGAAACTTCAGGTAGGTGGGTTACAGAAAGTTGGAGAAGCCTCTGCTTTAGACCTCATATGCTTTCTGATGACATGCTTAGCATTTTGGTGGGTGGAAGCTAGTATCTGTTCATACATTTCACAAGATTTCACTTAATTACAAGTATGTTGGGTCAGACCCACATGTGGGCAAGGAATGAATATTAAGGGTGGCTAAAGATAGGTCCAGTTAATTAATTATAATTAGGCCCTGGGCCTGCATCATCCCAACCTCTCAGCAGTCATCGAAGTTTTCAGCGTTTTACAGGGTTCAGCATAAGGTATGGTTTCTTTACAGAAAATTTCATTCACAATAGGATTTTTCCTTTTAATGATTAAATATTATTCCAGTCTATGTATATGTATATACCCTCTCTTTACCTACTTGTCAGTGGATATTTCATTCTTCTCTCATTTTCCTCTATGTATTTATTTTCTTTGTGATTACTGTGGATAGCAATGTTTTAAGCTGGTAATATGTAAGTTAAATAACATATAAGATGGTATTTTGTTCTATTAAAATTTCAATAGCATCCTATTACTAATTGATAGAATATTTTCCTGAGGGTATTAGTCACAGTTTGGTTTTTGTTGTTGATTTTTAATTCTGTTTTCTTCATGGTCTCTGTTTTTTCTCATTTGCTTTTCTACCCATTTCCTGTCTTTTACATTAGAAGCCTTTCCCACATGCCTGATAATCCCTGACCTTATTTCTGAGTGTAAAGTTATTTAAAAGTTCTGAGATCACGGCCTTTGTGTACTTTGAATTCAAGGTGATATTTTATAATCCCAGCACTTAGAAGACTGAAGCGGGAGGATTGTGAGTTCTAGGTCAGCCTGAGTTACATAGTGAGTCTCTGTCTCCAAATGATAGAAACAAAACAGTCATAACAATGAACCAGATGATCTGGCTGGATCATCTGTTGGAGAACTCCCCTTTCCAAGTCATTATTTTTATCTTTCTTTGGGATTAGTTCCCCTGCAGGAGACTGTCCCCTGTGCTTTCTTGCAAAGGAGCTACCAGTATTAGTAGAGGAATAGTGGTCAGATCGTGGGTGTTCCCAGTATTTGGTATGCATTCTTTTAGTCTCCTTGCTTTCAAAGAACACTACTCTTGACTTCACCTATATGAGACATTCCACATTTTCTGACAGTCAACCTTCAATATTCTATTGGGAAAGGTGAGTTGCCCTCACCTAGTACTAAAGTTGCAGAGGGAGTAAGATCTAATTCAGTTTACAACAGCTTTCAACTTACCATCCTCATTTTAACCCTAACTAATCACATCTATTTCCGGAGCCACCTGAAGCTATCAGTTCTTGAACTTTTGTGCATGCATTAACTTTTTTCTTTTTTTGTATATTTATTTGATTTTTAGACAGGATGTTACTATGTTGTCCAGACTGAACTCTTGTCCCAAGTCAGCCTTGCTTGTTGGTAGAACTCTAGGTTTCATCACTGTGCCAACTTTGAAAACTTTTAATGTATATTTGTCATATATATGTGAGGGTGTGTGTGTGTGTGCGCGCGCGTGTGTGCGCACGCGCACGTGTGTGTGTGCATGTATGCGTGTACATGCGCATGCATAGTGACCAGAAAGGTCAATGTCACATGTCTTCCTCTATTGCTCTCTACCTTACTGTTTTCAAATAGGCTCTCGGTGAGCTTAGAAGTCACTAACTAGCTAGACTGGCTGTTGGGCAAATGCTGGAATCCACCCAGCCTTTTACGTGGGTACCTGGGATGTCAAATCAGGTCCTCAGGTTTGTGCAGCACTTGCATCCACTGAGCCACCTCCCTAGCCCACATCTGACTTTTGAAGACTTTTAAAGAAGATTCAATATGTGTTTGAATTTTCTGCCCAAAGCATTTGCTAGTGAGCCTTGTTTGGTATGCTTGCTTCCTACTCCCTATTTATTTTATATCTTCCAATATATTCTTTCTGTTGGTTTAGGGCCTTGTAGTTTTAGAGTTTTCTGGAGAGAATAACATCAGATGAACTTTCAGTCTCCCATCTGAAAGTAATTCAAGCTGTAATGAAAGTTGTTTTCTTTCTGTGATATTTTTGTCACTTTTCAATTTGTGTTAGGTGCTATACCTGAAGAACCTTAGTCCTCGGGTGAAAGAAAAAGACCTTATCTCATTATTCGCTCGGTTCCAGGAGAAAAAAGGGCCACCCATCCAGTTCCAAATAATGACTGGACGCATGAGGGGACAGGCTTTCATCACCTTTCCCAGTAAGTAACTTCATCTAGATAATCACTCCATCGCGCATCAGTTCATGTGAGACTACCTATTACCTCGTTGAATTACATATAGCCTTAGCACATGGAAGGGGCTGGTAAGGAAAATACATTTCCAGTATTGCCAAGTCCTTCCTGTACTTACTTCCTCCTCTCTATGGATACTGTATAACCACCTACCCCAGTGTCCTCAGTTTCCCAATTTTTGACAATTCCTTTCTACCCTATCAATATTTATTTTTTTAACCAGCAGCACTGTTTCTACTCTATATTATAATGGAATTATTCATAGTTAATACATGGGAATTGTTATTAGAAGACATGTATTCATGCCCTATTCCTTTAGGACTAAGTGATTTTAAGTGAATTAATTAACTCATTATCAATTCATAATTATTTAAAGATGATACATTCTTTCAAATATCACTTGCACTGATATTAGTTATTCTGATTTCAATAATAAGTTAGCCAATATGCCTTTTGTGGGAAGACGCTAGGTAGTATCTGTAGCTTTCATTGCCTCTAAATTGTCATTTTAATGCTCTGCTAATGTTTATGTGGGTGAGTGATTTTACACATGAAAACTGCTGACCTTCTTTCCATTGCTTTCATATGACCTTGTACTGTCTTTTCTGTCTCACTGAATGTTTGTAAATCCTTCCTACCATTGGTTTTCAGTCTTCTGAAGTGAAAATATCTAGATTTTCACAGAATATATATAACTTACTAATTGAAAAATACATAATTCAAAGGCTTTATATTATATGTACATGCCTGTGTACTGTTCGTGTGTGTATGTTCATGTGTGTGTGTGTGCATGCATGTGTGCATGTGTATTCATGTGTGTGTGTGCATGCATGTGTGCATGTGTATGGGCGTACATGTGGAGGCCAGAAAATAGCCTGGTATCTTCCTCACTTGCTATTCCACCATAATTTTCTCGATGACCTGAAAGGTCATTGATGCGGTTAGACTGGCTGGTCAGTGAGCTACAAGGAACTACCTCCCCAGATTTAGGGTTACCTATACATGCTTCAATACTTGGAGGTTTATGTGGGTACCAGGGACTAAAATACAAGTCTTCATGCTTGCCTGGGAAGCATTTTGCTACCAGAGCCATCTACCCAGTCCCAGTTTTACACTTCTTTTTTTATATTTTACATTTTTTAGCTTTTTTTATTACTTTAATTGTAAATAGCTTGCTTCACGTGTAAATCCCAGTTCCCTCTCCTTCCCCAGTTTTACACTTCTTAATTTGTGACTATTTTACTAATCCTAACAGCTATAGTATTCACATGAAAATTTGTGGTGTATCTGAGACAAAATGATCTCAGTATTGTCTACTTATAATTCCACAGACTCTTGTCTGGAGTCTACCCCGTCCTTATTTCTTACATACAGTCTCTGAGACCCATATGTTGAATATTCCTCCTATACATTATATATTCTCATACACAATTTTTTTGTCTACCAGCAAGAGAAATTTATTATCCCAATAAGGATTCCCACAACCACTTTCACTCTAAAAGAAAAAAAGTAGCTAAGTATGCTCAATAATATCATAACTTATGTTTGTATAACAATTTTGAAATATTTGTTTTTCATGTCTATAATCTATCTAAGATAGAGGCATGTTTATAATTTCTTCAGTTAACTCCCCATGTATCCTTATTTCTTCTTTATCTTTGAATCAAATATGCATTTTAGGGCCTTTTGTCATTATTTTTATTATTATTACCCATTATTTTAATCTTTCTAACATATACAAATTGGGGGTAGAGGCACGACAAAAACATCTAACATTAGTATGATTTTATAGCAAACCAGTCCTAATTAAACTTGTAATAATAGTCAAGTGATTAAGCTGTATGTAATTTGATGCATTTTTCTTATTTTTTCCAGATAAAGACATAGCATGGCAAGCATTGCATCAAATAAATGGATATAAACTCCATGGAAAAATATTGGTGATAGAGTTTGGAAAGAACAAAAAGCAACAGTCAGCTATCCAGGGTGCTTCCCTTATAACAACTGCTACAGATAGCAGTACAGAAATCAGTGGTAGCTAGAATACATATTGACACACATACATATACATTTGAATATGTGTATGTGTATGAACACACACTCAGATCTTTTATCATTATCTAAGGTGTAGGCATTTGTTTAAAATGAAGAGGAAATATTAGAAAGACAGTAATTAGGACAGTGATTCTCAGAAAGGATTGGTAGAAATATTTTCCAAAATTAAATACTGTATAGTCTAGAAAAAGACTATATAAAATTGACACTATCCTGAGTATTGGACAGATAATACCCTGAGCTTTAAGATCCTATGAAAACATTTAATTCTCAGGATATATTACATAGAATTGTTCCTAAAGATTCTTTAATATTTTTGCAGTCTTCGATGTTTAGTCCTAGAGATAATACTTTTTCTAGGACTATTTCCTGTATACAAAGATTTAAAACTATTCAGTGTTAAAATATTTATTTACTAGAACTCACTGTGTTTTATCAGAACTTTCAGCAGTTACAGTAGGTAGATTCATGAGTTCATCAACATATTTAATGGTTGCTTTTCTACACTGTTTTCAGTCCTCAAAAAGACTACATATACTATACTGACATCTTTTAAACCAAAATATTGGTATCTTCATGATACTATTGAACTCAAAACAATAGATATTAAACATGGAGTAACTGCCTAATATATATTAAACATTAGGTATATGAATTTTTGAGAGAGAACAAACTAGCAAGGAGTTCTAAGGGGACAAAGAAAGTTCTATATTTTAGAAGAAAGGCATCCTGTGTCAAATCCCCTAATGATTTGTTTATAGTTGTTGAAGAATAGAAACACAATATACTATAGTCAAGGTAGTACCAACATTGGATTAAGACCTGTGACCCTCATAGTCATACATGTTTACCACCCTTAACTTCAAAAGTCACTTAATCTGAGCCTCATTTGTCTTATCTACAAAGTAGAGTAATATTGCTATTTACCTCACTAAGGGTTAAATGAGGCTAGATTATCCAAGGGAAACAAATGAGGAAAATAGAGGAAACTCCACTAAGCACATCATTAAGAATTCAAGAAAGGGAAAGAGAGAGACAGAGACACAGAGAGACAGAGACACAGAGAGAGAGGTGGGGGGAGAGAGAGAGGGAGGGAGGGGCAAGAGGGTCAGTTGAGCCCTGATTCCAAACCAGCCTGTGTAAAACAGTGGAACCCTGTCTAAAAACTAAAACCAAGAAAAAATGGCAAAATTAAGATCTCAAAAACAGTGGAGGAGACAATGAAAGGTAAAGTATCCACCACATAAATTCTAAAAGCTGGAGAATTTGTTGCCAGCAGACAACACAAGACTTACAAAAGGACCTTTGTCAAGCACGTGACCTTAGAGAATAATCTAAATAGATACATAAAACAGACAAAGCTGACTGTGTAGCTATAAAAATAATCTTGAATACTTTTTCCTTCTTAACCAATTTATTTATTTTTCATGTAGCCCTGGCTGTTACGGAACTTGCTCTGTAGACCAGATTGGCCTCAAACTCAGAGATTCACCTGCCTCTGCCTCCCCAATGCTGGGATTCTGGTAATTTTTAGCAGTTGTATTAAGTTGTATGTATTTGCATTGTATCTCCTATAATATAAAAGTTAATGTATTTGCCAATAACAAAGAAGGTGGGAAATAATGCTTATTTTCCTAAAAATAGCATAAATCCATACGAACAAAAAAAAAAGGAGAAATAAGATCGCTAATTTTACAAAGCTGTAAACAGTTTGGCTTCTTAAAAATAACAGCATTGTATTAAGTGATAATTGTAATGTATTGTTAGCCCTGTGGAATGTAGAAATACTCTGCTTAGCTATCATGCCCAAAATTCTGGGGAAAAGAAAACAAAAATAGTATTAGAGATAAAGATTCATTTTTTTTGTTTAAAAGGTCAATCTTTTAAGATGTAACAATTTTAATGGCACATTTTCATAACAACAGATAACCCAAAATAACCTAAAGCAAGGTAGCAAAGTAAAGAATGGCGAAATAGTCTCTGAAAAGTTGGAATACTCAGTGTTACATTTCTACTAAAAGCAGATGATAAACAAGGAAGTAGAGTACTTCAACACTGTGAGCCAAATGGATCTGAAAAACAACTATAGAACATTCTATCCTATAACACTAGAGCATGTATTTTTATCCCAGGCATATGAAACATCTTTAGGCTACATCATGAGTTAAACCACAAAATAGGCCTTAATAAATACAATTAGACTGAAGTAATGTAAATCATGTTCTGACTACCTGGAAGGAGGTTAGAAATCAGTAGCAACAAATTGGGAAACTCACAAATATGTGGAAATTAGTCACATTCAAATAGCAAGTGGGTCAATAAAGAAACATAAAAGAAGGCAACTCTGTGGGTAAGAGTGCTTGCTGCTCATGGACAGGACCTGAGTTTGATTCTCAGCACCCACATTGGATGGCTCATAGCCACCTTTGTCTATATGGGAAATGTTGAGAGATACGCCTATTTAAAGAGAAAAAAGATCATATAGCAGTAATTCAGTTTACATCTGTAGGAAAAGAATAGCAAGCTATACCCTACAACAAACAGAAAAATGTAAACACATGCAAAATAAATGAGTGAGTAGGATACAATAGAGAAAAGGCAATGAATCTAAGCAAGAAACTGGCTTACCTTTTTCCAGACACAGCAGGAAAAGATAGACCTAGTCTATCTTTATTAGGAATAAAGGAGGGGATGTTGCTGCTGACCATAGAAGGTACATGAGGAATACTGTTATACTTGTGTGTCAATAAATTAACCTACCCAAAAGGTACAAATTCTAGAAAGATAAAGTACCAACAACAAAATATAGGTTAAATAAGCAACAAGAAAGATACCCACAAAGAAAGGCCAGACTTTTTATTTGAATTCTACTAAATGATTCATGAAACAGTTGTCCAATTTCTTCACAAGCTATTTTTAAAATAAACAGGGAACACTTCTGAGTTGTGCTACTACAATATGGCAAAACCTTGAGAATATCTTCAGTGAAAGAAGCCAGTCACTGCTGATGACAAAATGACAAATGATAAGAATAGGAACTGGGCGTTGGTGGCGCACGCCTTTAATCTCAGCACTCCACTCGGGAGGCAGAGGCAGGCGGATCTCTGTGAGTTCGAGGCCGGGTTGGACCAACAGCCTCCAAAACAATACAGAGAAACCCTGTCTCGTAAAAACCAAAAAAAAAAAAAAAAAAAAAAAAGAATAGGTAGGTATAACTGGAGTAGATGGGAATTCTTTGCAAGTAGATGAAAATGATCATAAATTACATTAATGGTTGTATAATTATGAATACATCAAGTGGGCGAATTTTATGATATGTGAATTAAATCTCAGTGAAACTCACAAAGATAGGCACTTGAACATTATCCAAATGTCCATCTGTCAACATGAGTGACTTATGGCGCATTCATTTAGTGGGATACTATGAAGCCATTAAAGCAGTCGACTCAATCTATGAATATATTGTGACTTGTACTCATATCCAAGATTTTATATTATTCTATAAACTATGATGTATGTATGTATGTATGTATAAGATGTCTGTATAGTATGGATACATTTTTAAGCAAATAGTTTATGTGTATAGTTTGTAGAAATAACTTCAAAACAAATATCGGAAAGAAATAGGGAATATATATATATAATAGGCTGTAAACCTTCTGGCAGTGGGACTGTACAAGCTGAAAAGACACCTTCACCTTGTAAACATTTTTAGTTGGTGTGATTTGGAGTGGCTTTTACCTTCTTCAGTATTTTTAAATTTAAATAGTTTTTAAATATTCTTATAAACACTTGGCTTCCAGAATATTTGTCAGATCCACTCTGAGGATTTCTGACTTTACTCAGGACAAACTTCTATTCATTTGCTATCTTGCTCACATGATTAACGCTCCAAATTTTGATAGCGTTTACATGATGAGAAGTGAAGGAGCCTGATTGCAGCCTCTTGCACACGTTACCCAGGGACGTACTTCTCAGCCAGCTTTCCCAGAAGCGATTCCTTGCTCTTAGGTGGAAAACCTTACCTCCTCCTTACTAAACCTACAGACCACTTAAAAATGGGAAAAAAAATCAAGGATACCTTTCAACTGGTGCAGAGATACAGAAACTGGTATATCCAAATGACGAAATTCTACTCAGCAATAAAAACTAAGGAATCATATATGCAACAACTTGGATAAGTCTTAAATGTATTTTGCTAAGTAGAAGAAGCCAGACTCAAATGGCTAATTACTGTTATATTTCATTTGTGTGATTTCTGGAAAGGGTGAAGCAATAAGGCAGAAAATCCAGTAGATATCAAGTGTTGGCACAAGGGATTTTTTAATAATAGGAACTTTATGTTCTTTATAGTTAAACTGTATATGTTTTTGTTTAAACTCAGAACTATACACCAAAAGAATGAATTTTATTGTGTGAATTTTTTGAAATAAAATAATTTTAATGAAACAAAGATTTGGAAAGGCAATTATTTCCATTAACTAGTGTTAAGTATTGTGTGGTCTCTGATTACCACTGAAAACCCAAAGCCACTTTATTTCTCTTTTGCTTTTCATAGGTGAGCCCAAGCCACTAAATTAAAATCTCTCTATTAATTACTTTTCTATTGCTGTCATAAATACCATAACCAAGGTAACTTATAGAAGGAAGGGTCTGTTTGGGACTTAGAGTTCCAGAGAGATAGGAGTCCATCATTACTGTGGCAGAGAGAGTGGCAGCAGGCCAGACGGCATGGCACTGAAGCAGTAGCTGAGATCTCTCATACTGATTCACAAACAAGCAAAAAGGCACACTGGGGATGGTGATAGTCTTTTGAAACCTCAAAATCTATCCCTACTGAAGTGCATTCTCCAAGAAGGCCACACCTTCTAATCCTTCCCAAATAGGTTCACCACCTAGGGATCAAGTATCCAAGCATATGAGCCTATGGGGCCAATCTCATTCAAACCTCCACAAACTTTATAGCTGGAGCCAATAACTCACTAATATTACACTTGTTTAGCATTCATAGGGGCCTAGGTTCAATTCCCAGTACTGCCTAAAATGAAAAACCTAAAAATCTGACCCAGATAGATTGGTGCATGCACTTAGGACCAGACAGCAGGAAGATTGCTGACCAAGGCTAACCTGAGCTATGCTGTGAGTTACAAACCAGTCTGCGCTACCTATGAGAACTTTTTCTAAAAAAACAATTTCCATATATACATACACAATTTTGCCATCAAAAATCTAGGAAATGTGTTTGTTGCCCCAAGAGCATGAACAATATTTATTTTAGTAAAATAGTCATTGAAACATAATTTTCAGTACATTTTATAAAACTTTTCAGATGTTTTTTGATGATTGTATTGGGATGCTGTTTTATATTTATGTGCATGTGTTTAATGTGTCTCTAAGTATAAATGTTCATTGTGTGAGTGCATGTAAACACAGGCCAGGGTGTCTGTGTGGAGGTCAGACGACAACCTTGGTTTATTCCTTCTAGGTTTCTTGAGACAGGTTCACTTGTGGTGTTTGCTATTGCCTAGGCCAAGTGAGAAGGTCTGCAAACAGATTCTTCTGTCTCTGCCTCCCATCTCACACACATGCACTACCATATCCAGCGCATGTGGGGTTGGGGCATCTGAACTCAGGGGGTTAGCCTTACAAGGCAAGTTCTTTACCCACTGAGCCATCTCCCCAGCCTGCTGGCTGTGTTCCTTTACAATTCTCTTGTTCAAAATATAGGACTGGACTTGACTTTTAGGTGTGTGTTTGTAGTATGATTTTATATCCAATCAAGGACATAGACTCCTTAATTAAGTATCATTTACTAGATCATTAGTAAGGAAAATATCTGTGAATAATGGTAATTTTCTTCCTTTCTACATATAGCCTTAGTATTTATTTTTTGGTGTATTGTACCGTTCCTATTCCATATCGATTCCTTGTTTTATTGTGTTCTTCCTACTGAGTATTGAATAAAAGTGGTGTTGGGTATTTTTCATCTCATTGCCAGTCTCAGAGGGAGAGCAACACTTAACCATTAAGTGTGATGTTTGTTGTATATTCATAAACTATCAGAGTAAGAAACATTTCTCCTTTTTTAGGTTGTAGAATTTTGTATGCAGCTATTATTGTTGTCCATGGGGAAAACATTTATGTCTGAATTGTTTTAATTCCAAACAGAAGAAAAATCAGCTAATTGTACAGTTAGTTATGTTGAGACTGGGAGGTTCACATCTTCCTCTTTAACTGAAAACTCTGTAAGGTAGGAAAAATATCAAAAATGGTCAGTTGTAGGTGTGCATTATGAGAAACTGACATTCTCTTTGGAGCTATGGAACCCCAAATCCTTTGGAAATGAAAAAGGTCAAGAGAATGAATTGCCAACAAAAGTAATATTTCTTTAGGCTGAAGGAAACATGCTATTTGAAGAATAAGACTATAGGAAGTGATGATGGTGCACACCTTTAATCCCAGCACTCAGGAGGCAGAGGCAAGCAGATCTCTGTGAGTTCGAGGCCAGCCTGGTCTACAGAGTGAGTTTCAGGGCAGCCAAAGCTACACAAAGAAACCCTAGGTCAAAACAAAACAAAACAAAACAAAACAAAAGTCTATAGGAAGAATTTAAGAACAACCAGAAAGGATGAATATGTGGACAACTATTGTAATGAGAAATTCGCATGTATCTGATTAAGGGGTATCAAGGATTTATTAAGATATGAAAGGGGGAAATACACTCATGAATACAGGACATGGCAAATCCAGTTGCAAAGTCATTGAAAAGCTGGGGCCCTATCACAGGCTGCTTTACACCCTGACCTGGTCCTCACACCCAAGAGAGAGGCCTCCCTCCCCCCTTCCTTATAAGAGGTCACATAGGCGGACAAGAAGCACTGCCTCTATTAGGCCAGATAGTCCAAGGTCATGGGCAGATCAAATACCCACTGCAAACTATGAAAGATGTTTGTTCTATTATTTAAAGTAACTATAACAGTGACTTTGGAGTTAAGTATAGAAATGAATAGGACACCAGACAAGAATAGATACTGGAACTTTTAGTGTTTTTTAATTTATAACTGGTGAGGTATGAATTTAAGATGAACTGACAGTAAGTTTGGACTCAATTTCTAAAGCAAGGTCTCTCATCATTATTACTAGTAGAGGATAATTCTTTGTTCTTGGTGTCTGATCTCTGTATAGTTAGATGTATCCCTAACCTTTTTCTAGTAGTTGCCAGTAGTACCTCCCCTTAAGAGTACAAAAAATACCTGAAGACACTGCCAAATGTCCTATGGGGTAGCAGAATTACCCATTCCTGAGTACCATTGACCTAGAACAGTGGTTCTCAACCTGAGGGTCACAATACCCTTGGGGTCGAATGATCCTTTCACAGGGTTCGCCAAGACCATCAGAAGATACAGATATTTGTATTATGATTCATAACAGTAGCAAAATTACAGTTATGAAGTAGCAATGGAAATAATTTTGTGATTGTGGGTCACCACATGAGGAACGGTATTAAAGTGTAGCATTAGAAAGGTTGAGAATCACTGCTCTAGAATAACCACTAAAATAAATAAAACCCAGTATAAAATGTTAGTAAATGACTTGAAGTTGACGTAATAAAAATGAAAAACTTAACCCCAAACAATATGGGATGGTGAGGTAAGAAGAACATAATAGACAAACTACCCTAATGTACCTGAAACTTGAAACTGCTAGAAGAGAATGGGTAAAACACTTGAAGATACAGAACCAGGCAGGGGTTTTCTGGAAAGGATGCCAACAGCATGGGAAATAAGCCCAAGAATTGACAGATGGGACTACATGAAATTAAAAATTTCTCCACAGCCAAGAATATAATTCCCAAAGTGAAGAGACAGCTCAAAGAATGGGAAAGGATCTTTTCCAACTACACATCAAACAGGATTATTGTCTGGAGTATGTAAAGAACTGTGAAAATCAAACACCAAAGAAAACAAATTATTTTATCATTAAATGGGCCAATTAACTGAATGGACAGTTTTCCAAAGAATACAATGGCCATTACACATTTAAAAGAACTTTTCAACATCTTCTACCATCATGGAAATGAATTTTAAAACTTCATTAAGAGCGGGGCAGTGGTGGCACACACCTTTAATCCTAAAATTCAGGAGGCAGAGGCAGGTGCATCTCTGAGTTCGAGACCAGCCTGATCCACAGAGTGGGTTCCAGGATAGCCAGGGCTACACAGAGAAGCCTTCTCTCAAAAAAATAAAAAATAAAAAACTTCCTTGAGATTCCATCTCATTCCAGTTAGAATGGTTGTCATCAGGCAACAAATGTTATTGAGACTATCAGGGAAGAAGTGTCCTTAGACACTACTTGTGAGAATATAAAGTCATATAGGTAAATATCAGGTATGGACATTTCTTTTTTTATTTTTAAGAAAAAATTTTGTATTACATTCTTTTAGAAAAGACATTGCTTGACATGTCAATCCCAGCTCACTCTCCCTCCCCTCCTCCCGCCTCTGCCTCCCACCCCATTCCCACCTCCCTCCACACAGGGGATATCCAGAGTCTGTCACCTCGCTCAGGGCAGGGTCCAGGCCCTCCCCCAAGAGTCCAGGCTGAGAGAGCATCCCTCCCCCGTGCCATAGACACCGAAAGTCCATCTGACCCACTGCCGAGGGCCCCACAGGTTGCCCAGGACTTCCCACCGACTCTCAAACTCAGGGGGTCTGGATCAGTCCCATGCTGGCCTCCAAGCTGTCGGTCTGTGGTCCAAGAGCTCCCCCTTGTTCAAGTCAGCTGTCTCTGCTGGTTTTGCCAGCCCATTCTTTGCCCATTTGTTCATTACTCCACTCTCTCTGTCACTGGGTTCCATGGATTCAGTTCAGTGTTTAACTGTGGGTGTCTGCCTCTGCTTCCATCAATCATGGGATGAAGGTTCTTATTCCTCTTCTCTGGGGTACCAAGCATATCTCTCTTAGGTTCTTTCCTGTTTCCCAGACTCTCTGTCAGTGGAATTGCAGACTGGCACTCCCCTGATGCATGTCTAAAATTCATGTCTGAATGAGTACACACCATGTTTGTCTTTTTGTGACTGGGTTACCTCACTCAGGACGGTTTCTTCTAGTGCTGTCCATTTGCCTGCAAATTTCAAGTTTCCATTGTTTTTTCTGCTGAGTAATACTCCATTGTGTAAATGTACCACATTTTCTCTATCCACTCTATAGTTGAGGGGCATCTAGGTTGCTTCCAGGTTCTGGCTATTATAAAAAATGCTGCTCTGAGCATAGTGGAACAGATGTCCTTGTTGTATGAATGTGCATCTTCTGGATATATGCCTAAGAGTGGAATTGCTAGGTCTTGTGGTAGATTGATTCCCATTTTCCTGGACATTTCTTAAAAATTAAAAATAGAACTACCATATGTACCCAAAGTCTCTAAGCCTGCTTAAAATGGAGATATCTCCATATCTATGTTTATTAATTAATGCCATGTTCCCAATAGTCTAGATGTTAATAATAGGTAAATGCAGAATGAGAATGTGGGGCAGTATACGCAGTGTGTGTGTATATGTGTGTGTTATAGAATATTTGTTTAACTGTGTACAGATGTGCTGCATTTGTTTAATTATGTAAAGATGTGTTGCTGTTTTCCTTTGCCCACCTAAGGCACCTGATTGGTCTAATAAAAAGCTGAAATGCCAATAGCAAGGGAGGAGGTATAGGTGTGACCTCAGGGCAGGGAGAGTAAGTAGGAGGAGGAATTTAGGCTGAGGGGAAGACAGAAAAAAAAGATGCCTGGGAGACACCAGGGTCCAGACAGAAGACAGACAGACACAGAGAAAGCAGGAAAATTGGACATACAGAATAAAAGAAAGGTATAAATCCCCAAGGCAAAATGTAGATGACCAGAAACAGGTTAAATTAGCTAAAAGGAGGTCAGGGAGATGGCTCAGAGGTTAAGAGCACTGGCAGCTCTTCCAGAGGTCCTGAGTTCAATTCCCAGCAACAATATGGTGGCTCACAACCATTTATAATGAGATCTGGTGCCCTCTTCTGGCATGCAGGCAGAACACTGTATACATAATAAATAATCTTTTTTAAGTTAAGTTAAAAGAGCTAGTGAGACAAATCTAAGCTAAGGCCTAGCATAATTAAAAAAGTCTCTGTGTCTTTATTTGTGAGCTGCTTGGTAGACCAAAGGAAATTCCAGTGTGTGTGTGTGTGTGTGTGTGTGTGTGTAGTTTGTGTGATGCAAACAAAGGGCTTTGCATCATGAGAGGGAGTGAAAAGATCTTAAAGGAAGAAAAAACGGGTAATGAAATGTATACATTTCACATAAAAGCATAAAGGCAAATTGAGGCAGGGGGAATGAAGAGAGCCATCAGGGCATGCATGGGCCATGGCAGAGGACAATTGGAAAGGAATTAGAACAGGGTGTAATGACTCATATGTATAAAGATACCATGATGAAATTCATTATGTTATAATCTAACTCTCAAAATTAATTTTTAAAATGCAAATGATAGTTTCCTGACTGTTATGGTTTGGTTCTAGGTTCTAATACATTTGCTCAAAAGATATAAAATATTCTACTACTTTGTAAATAGTGTCTGTTCTGCTGTCCTTGGAATTAGGGACCAGGGTGTCATACTGGAAACATGACCTGTTATCTCAAAACCAGTGTTCTTGTTACACTGTTTACTTCGTTTCTCTAGAGGTTTTACTGATTTTCACAGTTCTGATGAAGTTATTTCTGACATATCTGTGTTAGATGGGTTATTTGTTTATTTCTTTTAATGTTTCCATGGAATTTGGCTATTCTGCCATTTTGCTCATGTCTGAAGGAGTCCTCCTTGATATTTCTTGAGTGACTGAATAATAAATAGGTGCTGTATTTTTGAGGTATTTTTTGTCTGCACTTACTATTTCGCACTCATTTTGAAAGATAATTTTGCAGGCATATGTTGAATTTTATTTCTCTAGTTGTTCCTCACTC